TATATATATATATTTATATTTATATATATTTTTTTATTCTTGTAGTGTGACAATTAAAATGCACCAAAAATACGAGAACACCATGAATTTATTTTATTTCAATAATTCAATTTGAGAAGTAGAAATCAGTTTTTAGAAAATGTTTTAAATGATTATGGTTATAGCTTGCAGCCCATGAAAACCGATCATTTTTCTTCTCAGAAAATTTGAATGTAACAATAGATATTTAATATAGAACATTTGTGAGATGTACTCCATACACAGCCTGTGGTGCAGTGATGAAGAAGCCCATTTTGCTGCTGTAATGAACCTCAGATTAATTGCACGATTGCATCCCTCCTCTTGCTCTCCTGGTTTTTCAATGGGGCTTTGGTCAGGCTGCTGTATAGTCAATTGTGGTGATGCCATAATATTGAACCAGGTATCCATACTTTTCCCAAACTCATCAATCTTGTGTGCACTTTATTTAAACCAATTTACTCACTTTTTCCTCAGACAGAACTCTTTGAGAAAAGCTAGAATCTTAAATAAGTTTAATGCCTTACATGGCATAACTTTTAATTGGTTTGAAATGTTATTTAATTATTATTGAAAGTGATCCCTGTGCAGAATAAATCCATATAATATCATGTTTAACTTTTTGTAGCTTGAATAAATCAACCTTTTAAAGATGCTTTTATATATTTAAATTCCATTTTTTATTAACTATCTCCATTTTGTGTTTTTCGACAGCTTGAGGTTGGAGGAAGAGTGACTGAAACACAACTGGAGAATCTGATTTCACAGACTGAATACGCCTTAACCGTCATTCCAATTTATGACATCGGACCTGGGCAGTCGATGACAGCATCTGCTATCACAGGTACAAATAAGAACCAGAGTGTTACTGAGAACCTTCCATAGCACATTTCTCCAATGTAACATAATGGTACCATTTTCTCCTTCAAGATGTGGTTCCAGCACCAAAGAACCTTGAGTTCTCAGAAATTACCCAGACAAGCTTTAGAGCAACCTGGGAGCATGGAGCCCCTGACGTGGCTCTCTACCGCATTGCCTGGTCTAAGAAAGGAGAAAACAACTTTGAAGATGTAATAAATTGGTCAAATAAGTTTTTTTTTTAATCCATTGATTTTGGATTTTTGTCTATTAATTCAGACTTTGATTGTTTTTCTGATCAGTCCATTCTAAACAACGATGAGACGACTTTCGTCATGGAGGACTTGGAGCCAGACACACCGTACGATGTGCACGTAACTGCGATATACCCAGACGAGTCAGAGAGCGAGGATCTCATGGGCACTGAGAGGACATGTAAGATATCTAACTCATTAACCATGGGATAAAATATTGCCTGCAATATTTCAGTTATTATTCCTCTAAATGTCTGTTTTGGACCTTGATCAAAGGTTAGTGAAATACAGTATGTAAGTTTTTACATAGTCATCTAGAAATGAGCCTATAAAAAAAGCCCTTTTGCCTTTCTATTTCTGCTTCTATAGTGGCCAAGAATGGTAAACCAAGTAAGTATATTGCGGTGAAGCAAAGGGATGCTTTGTCTTCAAGTAAAAGCATGTTTTTTTTGTTGCTTTTTTTACATCATTTGGTCATCAGAACCATTTCATTGGACTACTTTCATTTCATCATCAAGATCAGACCATAACCCATCAACTGCTCCAGCCATTTTTTTGTCTGTCTATGTGTTTGGCCAAAAGTCCAAGCTTCAGTCCCATGATTTTGTCTGATTTGAATGGCTGAAGATGGATTTTCACCATGCATGTCTGGCAAGAACCAGATTTTGACCATTTTTTTGAAGACCATTTCATCCCTCTTTCTCTTTTCATCTATCTATTCATCCATCCAATCATCACTCCATGTATTAATTGCATTTTGAGTCCATCTGTCATCATCTTCCTCATCATCATCATCATCATCATCATCATCATCATCATCATCATCATCATCATCATCATCATCATCATCATAATCATCATTCAAGAGATTCCATCCCACCTTAAGAAAAGACAAATCCTTTAGGAGTGTCTTTTCCTCTTTAAAGCTGCAGTCCTACTTAAATACAAGCTACTTCGGAATTGCTCAATCTTATTTTACCAAATTAAAGATTTCATAACAAATTATTACAAAAATGATATTACATGACCTGAAAACACAATCAAGGACTGTGACTTTAAAAGATATTTTAATTCCATCTATATTACAAATGCTCTGATTACATGTGCATTTCAATCAATTAAAATATCATTGAAAATTTTCATCTATTCCATCAATTTAGCTCAAAATGTGGAAGTCATATACTTTATACAGTTGCTGCACACAGAGGGATATATGAAAGGAGTTTATTTCTGGATGGCAAACCAAAATTGCTATTGAAGCTGTCTTTTTACAAGGTGCTATATGTAAAACAAGGTTTAGCGGAATGAAAAGGTGCACAAGTAATAGGGATAACTATAGCCTTCAGGGGATATAGAAGCAAAGCCCATTCAAATGTTTATGGAAGCCTCCAAAGGCTTTAACTGTTAGTGTTTGCAGACCTACCACACACAAAGGTATCCATGACATGACCTAAAACAGATGCAATCAACCGTCGAGCCCTTGCAGAACCAGGGACAATAGCAAAGGCTTCGTACCTAGTCTCACAGGGACATTAAAAGCATTTTTTAAAGTTCAGTTGGAAAATCAGATACCAATAGTAAAGCAGCCTGGGCTTGCTCAGAACCTTAGTTTAGCTATAGGTCGATTTAATTGCAGTCAGCATTCCTGTATTGACTTCCTCTTCGGTTGTCATTTTCTGAAAAGCTATTGTTCTGATGTTTACTTTAAGCCATAATTATCAAAATTCACAGAAATAACCCCTCGAGCTATTTCCCTTTGTGTGTAAAGAATAATCAATTCAAGTTCCACTTTTTGAGATGAATTGTCTTCAATGATATTGTAATTCACTGGGGGACACTTGTATTTATAACAGGTGCTGATGTGACCCTAACTATAAAACATGTGGGTGCTTGTATGCGTTTCAGTGCCGAGAGCACCTCCAACCAACTTAGTTGTATACAATGAAACCACCACCACTCTGAACGCCAGATGGACTGCACCTACAGGCCGCGTCACGAACTACAGGGTTACTTACGTCCCCGTGGCTGGAGGCAGGACTCAGACTGTAAGTCCTGATACAATTACCTACTCTCTACCGGGCATGTTTAAAAAGTGAGGTTGAAGGGTTGCTTTAAAAACTGCAGGTATGGCCATGATATGGCTGCAAAACAATGAACCCCTACTTAAGACATCTATTATGTGGTTTATTAAATTTCAGACCTCTTTTATTTTATCATACAACTCTCGATTTTGTCGTTTTTTGGCTCCTTTGCCAAAAGTAAATGTTTGTTACAACTTTCCAAAGCAAGACCTCAAAAAAAGAGACACAACTTTACAAATTCACGGCTGTAGAAATGAGAAGTGAAGGAAACTTAAGTCTACAGCCAAATGTTCTGCCAAGCTTTGACTAAAATGTCTCTTCCTCACTACTTGACTTGCATTTAATTAGAGATTTTAATCAGAAAGATACAGAGTTAAAAGGTGCTAAATCATGCCGTTTTAAGCTGTTAAGTCAATTATAGGTATATTTATGATAAGATAATACCTTTGGCACTAATGGATATTTATGTGTTATGAAATATTAGTTATTTTCTTCCAACCTGGAAGAAAGATAATTGCCTTCAAAGAGAGGCCACCTCTCCAGTGTGCCATGCATTTCATGATGCTGTATCGTTCTACTTCTGGTGGTTAGGATACTGTTTAGGAAGGTTTAATAAAGTCATAGACCTTTCAACCTTCTTGAGGTGGGCGGGGAAAACCATTCTATGTAGATATATCAAGGTTGCTTGTTATTTTAGCACAGGAAGGGGCAGCTGCTCAGAAAGCAGAATTTATTCAGGTAAATTACTCATGCATGAATGAAAGGAAATGCCACTTTTGGCATGATTTTTATGAAGAAACAGTATCACAACATAGTAAAAGCTCAAATAAGTTTATTTATCATGATGCAGGCCCTTTAAAACATGTCCTGCTGGAAAATACAGTCCTTATCTGAATTATACAGTATATCTTTGGTAAAAAAAAAAAAAGAAAGAAAAAAACTTTGGATAAAACTAAATAACTGCACAGAATTTACCATATCGAAAACATATGTAATGTGTGCCTCGTTTTTATATAGAGGGTGGTTATGTGATGTTTAACTGTCACTATGACATCACTGTCTTCTTTTATTATTTTCCGTATTACACAATATGAAGTCCGTCTGTAATGTAGTGGTTTAGGTCTTTGTTTTTAATATGGTGGACATGGGCTCTTTACCCGTTGCATGAGGAAATGCATCAAATGTAATAACTCTTCCAAATCTGTGAGGAAGTTGTACTCATTGGCTCTGGCCTGATAAACTCACCATCAAACAATCCAGAGTTTATGACTGAACCAAGTTGATAAATAATGATGTGCTGCATATAGGAGGAAATAGGTCAAAGTGTTTCAGTTGAAGTCACTTTAAACAATCATGTTGCCATGGTCATTGGAATGCCTCCTGCCTTCTGGCGCTATTGATTGAATATTGTTATTATTATCGTTAATTATATTATTACTTTGCATAGTTTCTTTCCTGCCGTAGTAAAATATGTTGCAGATATGCCAAATTATTAAAGGAAAATAACAGCAGTAACAGTAATTTTATTTTATTTTTTTGCTTAAGTTCCTCATTGAGCACTAAAATATGTAAATCTTTAACTGGGGCATGAGAATTGATTAAGTCATTCCCAAAGTTATTGTTTTTCCTTATAAAGGTTTATCTAAGTTTCTATTCTGTTTAATAACCAGTGTCATCCTAGCCTTCAGTATTCATTCAGCTGGTTGACTCTAACATATTTTACTTCTTTTTTTTTTTACAAGTCATGGCTGATTTAAAAACTAAAAGGTGACTGTGTCTTATTTTTGATAATGAAGCCCAAATGACCAACTATACTCTGCTTTCTTTTCTTTACTCTGCCAGTTTTTTTGCAAACTGTTGGATTCTGAATTGCTCCCATTCTGTCGTACTTCTCCTATTGTGTGATATTATTTTCACCATGACTGTTTGTTCTGGTTATGAGACATTAAATTCACCGATCTATTCAGTTTATTTCTCTCTGCTCCGTCTACACTGATCCAATAAACATTTACAGTGGCTTGCATTCAGTATTCAGATCTGTTGAACTTTTCAACCTTTAGCCACATTTCAGGGAAGAATTAACAAGTGGGACACAATCATGAGGCTGAACTAAATTAAATGGAAATTTTAAACTTTTTAACAAATAAAAAACAGAAGAGTGCAAAATTAATCTGCCCCCTTACTTTCAGTGCAGCAAACTCTCTCCAGAAGTTCAGTGAGGATCTCTGAATGATCCAATGTGCCATAAATCATTGAAGATGAACAGAGGTCTGTTTAAAGCGCAAAAAGCATCATAAAGAACATGGAACACACTAGACGGGTCTGAAATACTGCTGAGAAGAATTAAAGCCAGCTTTGGATAGAAAATATCCTATACATTTCATTCCCTTTAATGATTGTGTCCCACTTGTTGTTTATTCTTCACAAAAATTACAATTTTATAATTTTATGTTTGAAATAAAATATGGCATTAGGCACTTTACCTGATGGAAAAATCAGTATTTGCTGTTTAGAACAAAAAGAAATGTATTGAAACAAGTTCTTTAATTCATACTTGGAGGCTGATAAATATTTAAAGGTTGTTGCACTTGGCTTTGTTGGTTCCACTTGACTCACTGTCTGCATTTCAGTATTTGAAGCATTCCCAAAGAGTTTCAAACAATTTTCATCTAGTACAAAAATGTTTTTCAGGAAATGAATCAAATCCTGAGTTGATGCTCAGGAAAATTGACACAGATCCAAAATAATAAACCCTTTGACCATCTGTTTTTACTGCTGCTGATAAAAGATTAAGCAACTCAGTTAAAGGGGTTGTGAAAGCTCTCCAGCTGTTGCCGTGATGACAAAAAACCAGACAAGATGTAAGTGTATACAAGTGAGCACTTGAGCTATGTTTTCATGTCTTCAGAAGTGACTTATTTTTTCTGACTGTAAGGCGAAAGCTGTACAGTAAATATACCTCCAGTCTTAACAAAAACATCTGTTTCAAGCATCAGTGCAGATATTTTCCTTGGCAAGATCACTATTTATGTCCACAAATGCTCACAGCCAAGTGTTCACAGGTAAAGGCCCTAACCTGCAAATGTTCCACCAGCAAATTAAATTAAGGGACCCATAGCCACATTTTATTTGTATTAAAATCAGATGGAATATATTTTCCCCAAGACACATCAGATCTTCAAAGCCTTTATTTTAAAGAGGCAAGAAGTCCTTACATTCTGCCCAAAACTACAGTAAATGTGTAATATCTTACATCAGAGGTCTTCAACAGGGGGTCCCCGACCCATAGGGGGTCCACAGAGGTACTGCATGGGGGTCGCAAAAGTTTTGGTTGATTAAACTTTTTTTTTAATATTCCCCCCCTGCAATTTTTTCCACTAATTAAAATGTCTTTAAATACACATGAATTCAACACACTGTAGTGAACAGATAAATGGAGGCAGAAGATGTCTTTCAGTCATCAATGCACACATTCAGCGACACACAGGAGCTTTTTCAAGCTGGGCACCGTTTCATCCACAACACCTGTCCCATCAATGAGGAATCAGAATCAGAAATACTTTAATAATCCCAGGGAGAAATTATTTTCATTACATTACTCCATATGTAATAGAGTAACTATAGGACCAGTTTGATATAACACAATTCCATACACTATATGTAATTATGGGATCCCTGCTCCATCTTGCCATCAGTTTGGGGGTCCTTGGCCTGGAGAATGTTAAAGACCCCTGCCTTAATGATAACTACCGTATTTCCCAGACTATAAGCTGCTTCTTTTTCCACATTCTTTAAACCATGCAGTTTATAAGAAGGTGCGGCTTTTCTGTGGATTTTTCCTAACCGCCATAGGGGGAAGTCAAAGTTGGAAAAGAAAGAATAAGGGGCTAATTTTCATGTAGCACAAAAAAAAATGCTGGCAGTAGTCATGACGGAGAACAAATATCCTGAAGTCACACATTTTGACGTTTATTTGCCGCATTAAAGCTGCTGAAACAATGAAGAGACTGAGCTCAACTCCTGCATGTAGAGCAAGGTACAGTTATTGTTCAAATATGGAAAAAGTGAGGAAACACAACTATTTCTAAATACACATCGATGAGAAATTCCAAATATTAGGGGTTTAACAATAAAAGTATCAATGACAGCAGTACCTAGTATATTATATCCCTAAACACATACAAAATCTGAATATGGGACCATATGTGAAACAGAACGCTCTGTAGTAAAATTTTAAAAGAAGTAGTTTTTTTTATTTACTGTGAACCAAAGTAAAAGACTAAATCCTGTTTCATATATTGCTTTTAGCATTTAGTAAAAAGCTTTATTATTTTTAAAACTATCATCTTTTCAGTTTTGGGTACTCCACTAAAAAAACTGCAATAAAAACAACACACATTCAGAATATCTTTGATTTTAAATTATAATTTCATGACAATAAGGACGCATACATAGACCTACTTAATATAGTATATAATATTCAAGTCTTTTGCAATAATACTAATGTGCACATCGGCATTGTAAAAATGACATATGCACAGATTTTACTGAGAGCAAACGTATTGTAGGGGCATACATGAGTTTATTAACAGGGTTTCGCTAACAATGTCATGAGAGAAGTTGCATTCAACATAAATCTTAATTCTCGCACAAGAGAACTGCAAATAAAGTACAGTGATGGAAAATGTCATCACACCATGGCTGCTTTCTTCAATCAGTTGTTCTAAGTTTATCTAAGTTACCTAAAGAATACAATTAACATTAAAAAAGCTATGGTGATTTCTGATATGCAAAAACCTGCATTTTACTAAGTGAAATTTGTGTTTCTTGCTTATGTAGTAGAGAATTTTAACAACCAAGCAGTATCAGGAATACTAAGAAAAATCACCAGTGAGGTCAGGGATAAAGTTGTGGAGAACGAATAATTATATAATAAAATATTAAATGAATTATTTTTCATCCACTTTCTTCCAACTACACCCAGGTTGTAGCCAAAAAGACCAATGTCCTCCTACCCAAGCTGACACCTGACACGGAGTACCAAATTGGCGTGGTTGCAGTTTACCCCAATGGAGTCAGCAGGGAGCTAACGGGGCTTGGAAAGACCAGTAAGTCGTTTATAATAAATTAGCTAATGAAGAAGGTGTTTCTACAGTTCTAATTAACATTTCTTATTTTATGCCAGAGCCTTTGGGTGGTGTTAGAAACTTACGAGTAACTGACCCCACCACCTCCACACTGAATGTCCTGTGGGAGCCTGCTGAAGGAAAAGTGCGCGAGTACCGGATCTACTACGTCCCTACAGCTGGAGGAGAGGAAGAGATGGTAAGAAGGGGTCAAATGGGACCATGTGTTCAGAAGTAACATTTGATCCACAGTCCGAGGCTTAACATGTCATGTATTTTGGTTGTCTATAGGTCCAGGTGCCAGGAAGCACCTACAACACTGTTCTAAGGAATCTGGATTCTGATACGCTCTACACTGTGAGTGTGGTTCCAATCTATGCTTCCGGAGAAGGACTCCGTTTGTCTGAGAATGGCAAAACATGTGAGTTTTACATGCAGAGATAGTATAAATTATATTGCTGATCTGTGCAGATGCATGAAATAGAAATGGTAATTCCGTTAAAGACAGAGGTCAGGCTTTGTAAAGGCTTGCATAATGCCAGTGGGATTGTATTCCTGAATCAGGAATCCATTCATGTCTGTCCAGAACGAACTTACTGCCCTTAGTTTCTGGCCCGCTTGTCAAAAATGTCCAGATTCTCCAACGACGCAGCCAACTTTAACTACTTTCATCACCCAAATCCATCCCAGCCAAACCATCCCAGTCAAATTGAATTGCCTTCTTGGGACTAAAATGATAACACATTAACTACATTCTACATGTTTAGCATAACGTATGGAATAGCAGAAAATAACAGGGTCCTGCTTAGTTTGAGCTTTAAGTAAGAACAGAGATTTTCCACTTTCTCCTGCAGTTCAACCACCAAGTTATGCTGGGAGTGACTCAGCATTATGTGGGATTATTGCGTAGGAAAGCATTCCTCTGGCCTGGCAGGGTTTTAAAGGGGTCTCCTCTGCCTTTAACGTAATAATGATAATTTATAGGCTGGAAGAAAGGATAGTGGTCAGGATAATGGGAGGGCCTAAGAACAGGGGAAGGATGTGTTGAGTGTGTGGTGGAAAAACTAACAAGGGAAAAAAAGAAAAGATGGTAATATATATTTTATGTTACTCAGTTCACTTGGCCTGGGTCATGGTCCATGGATGTCACTTCCCCCTCCTTTTCTCCTACTATAGCAATAGCCCATTTTAATTTGTGGTCTCTATATCAAAAAAGTGCAGCTAAAGATGATATCATTCAGAACATGGAAATTATAGAAGCCTGAATCCAATGTTCCACTAACATCTGGAGTATCTTTATTTTTTTGGATTGCAAAGCATGTATTCGTAACAGTACGCGTTTTTTACCTGAAGAATCCAATAAACATTCCAATATACAAATGTATTAGTTTTACCAAGTCAAATCTGTTTTCTTTTCTTAAAAAGTTAAGAGAACATTAGCGACACAAAAGCTAACAAAGAAACCAAGCAGGTCACGTCACAGCTAAATAATCTCAAGAGAAATTTACCTCTGCATTTCACGCATCCCCTTGGGGAGCAGTGGGCTGCCATCATGGGGCGCAGTGTGGGGTTAAGGATCTTGCTCAGGGATTCAGAGTGGCAGTCTGTGGGAGTGGGGCTTGAACCCAGAACCCAGGATTCGAAGCTCTATGCCCTAACCACTAGGCTGCCACTCCCCCCCTAAAGCAAAATGGTGACGTTATGAAGCATTTCATGCATTTAATACGTCCTCATTCCAATGTTAAGTAGAACATAGGGACCAAGAAAATGAGGGTTCTGCTTGGTTTAAACTTTGATTAAAAAAATTGAATTTTTCAATTTCTCATGCAGTTCAACCACAAAGTTTACCAATTTCAATCACTACAGATCTATATGAATTATAGTTGAGTAAATGTCTCCTGTGCCTAATTGAACTGGGTTAAGATCATTGAGACACAATGGCATATATCTAGAAAAAGACAAAACAAAGCAGCTTACAGAAGTTTACATAAAATCACTACACATCGGATAAAAAAAAATAGCAAAAAACATACAGTATACCATCTTAGTCTCCAAATCCTGCCTTGCAATATTATTTACTCTGTCACTTTAGTTCTAATAACTCTCAGTGAATCTGGGTATTATTACATTTAAAGGTGTCTAACGGCCAATATTGCTGTCAGGTAAAAGAATCAGCTTTGTTTTTTTTATCATAAAATTCAGATTCACATTCATTTATATATACAAATATACACATTTATATGGATAAAAATATTTAAAAGATACCAATGTAATAGTTTTATTATCATAATGGTTTTAGAATCCCAGGAAAAATGGTTTCTTTGAGCTCAGTAGAGCCAGGAGTCGTTGAAAAAATAAAAGCAAATGTAGTTAAAAAGTCTAAACTGTTAGTTTATGTTTAATACAGCTTTCATCTTCTATTCCCAAGATGTATCAAAGCACTCTTTAAGACCAACAGATCCAGTTTATATTTAGCATTTAAGTCCATCTAACATCTAAATATATAAAAATACCCGTACTGAATTACACACACTCCAGTTGTCTCAATGAGGTCAAATTTGGTTTGTGATAGTCTTTAATGAGATTTTTATCTTATTATTGTGAATGGCTTAAGGTCTTTAGATTTGGTGAAAGCAGATGTTTTTTGCATGATGGGACCAGGTATTTCTCAGAAACATAATTTGTAGATAAACTACTGTTCACTCTTATGCTCCAACAGCAGCTTGCTAAACAACCTGTCCTCAACTTATTAAGTTTCTTATTGTCTTCATGTTGTTCAAAAGTTGGCAAATCTTTAAAAGAAATGTGTTCATTTTTTATGTAAACTTGACTTCCATTCAAAGGACTAATTACCCATTATAGAGATAGTTGCATCAGAATACTGCCTTTGTCAGGAGTTAGCTGTTATTGCTAAAGTTATGGGCTGTTGATATTCTTTTTATTTTATTTAGCTCTTTGGCCAAAATCCTGTCTGCTTCGATCTTCCTCTCCATTTAGGGGGCATTTTGTTCCATGATTCAAATCAGCTTGGTGAAATGGAAATAGAAGATCTTTGTCTTTGTTCTGTCTACTGTCTTTTCCCCTGAATTTATGTGGTTATCAGTGGATGTATTGCAGAGAAGAGACCACATAACATCTGCTTTGGATTTAAGGAAGGGAGGCTTCACACAGAGCTGCACTTTTCATTAACCTTTAGGGCACCAACAGGAAGTGTCCCATTGATAGGGTGTTGTTAAATAAAGTTTCCAACATACCTCTTTAGCTTGCCTGGTGGGATAGTTCTTATTTTATTAAAATAACGGAATAATCTTCCTCTTGTTATCCATAAAACTGTAGAGGAACTTAATAAAAGTAAACATCAGATGAAATGTTTTAATACTGGAAAGAAGATTCACAAAGGAGGCATTAGAGGCTGTATGGAAAAAAGATTTTTATTTCCTTACCTTACATTTGCTATTTTTGTTTCTGTCTCTACCTCAAACCACCATGTTTTAATCCAATGTTTTGATTCGGCAGTGGAGCGGAGCCCCGTCAGGAATATTAGAGTCTTCAACCCCACAACCAACACTTTGAATGTTCAATGGGAGGCAGCCACAGGGCCAGTCGAACAGTACAGGGTGGTTTATTCTCCTCTCACTGGTGCCAGGCCTGCTGAGTCGGTGAGTTTCCACTGTACATTCAGCAAACTTTTCTTTTCCTTCCTGCAATGTACCCATAAGATATCCTGTCCTTTAGGGCAATACCGTTATGTAATGTTATTGGGCAGATGTGGGCTTTATAAGACCAAAATTTGCAGCACACCATATGTTAAATCATGCTTTTAAATGAAGTTGGTCTGTTTATCAAACAAATGTGAGAATTGTTCATGAATGTGTGTAATTACTGCCAGCTGATTCTTTTTCTCTGAGTCTGGCTACCAAAGTCTTAAAATGAAACCTGTTCTCTACCCAGAAGTTCTTTAATTGGAGCTCCTGCTTTCTTCATAAAATGTGCCATATGCCATCACATCTATAAACGTTTTTACATCCAAACTGATGCACCAGTTTTCAATATAAGGTTTTTTAACATTCTTCAGTATTTACATTCTAAATCTTTAATTTAATCATATGAAAAGCATTGATATGCAAATGGGAATTGTTTTTTTATATTAGCACGTTCATGTGATGTAATGCTATTTCGCATGGCCAGTGCTACTGATTTCCATCAGTGGCAATGTGGCCTTTCATTTCTCAAGATCATCAAGCTGAACACCAGCTGGAGATTTATAGCATGAATAATCAGCGTTTCTGGTGCCAGTCAGAGCGCTCTTTTTACACTTCTGCTTCCAGACTTCACACCAGAAAATATGGCTGAAAACGAAACGCAGTACAACCAAAATTAAAGAAAGAAATGGAGCAAATTTAAACTGCAGAGACAGAAAAGACATTGGTTAACCACTAATGCAGGTTTTGTTTAACACCAAAATCCCCATTGATAGTTACATGCAGCATATAAGTCCTAAAGAAAAGCCAAACCTTCCACTTCTGTGACTCCTTTGGAGAGGTTATCAGCAGGCCATAGCCCCTGAGAAGCTCTGGTCATGTTCTGTTTTGATAATTAACTCAAACAGAGATTGGCGCCCTCTTGTTAATAGTAACTGTCCGGCTGGGTTAGATAAATATACAACTAGCAGAAAGGCCCTAGTTATGTCACCACATCTCAGAACATTAAAGAGATGTGTGAATTTCCGATTAAAGCGATTGTGGAGGACTTTCGTGAATTTTTGAAAAGACCCGCCCTCTCCACTTTTAAGAAAAAAATGCACATGTACAACCCTGTACACGCTCCCAAGAGGGAACGCCTATTAAACGCGTGCAAGAGCATGCATGAGCCCTATTTTGTCCTCATGCATGCTCTGTTTAAAAGTTGCTGCTCTCATAGCTCATACAAGCTTACTGTGCCCGAAGGTCCGCCTTAACCCCTAAATCCCTCAATAGATTGGGGACTATATGGTGGACTTTATAGTGAACTCAGTTAACTGACTATTTGGACAGATGATCACTGCTTTTAGCTCCGTTTGTCACGTAACTCCTGCTCCACTGCGCGGTGCCTGCACCATCTTTGTTATTAGTCGCCGCTGTCGGATAGCAACACCCTATAGCGACAGTGTTCCGCTGTCTTGGCAAATCCCATAATGCTTAGCGAGGAAAGCTCTCTGCGCAAAGCATTCCAGGATATATCTGGCTCTTCTGAGGCCTTTCTTTTCTTCTCATACACTTCGTAGACACTTTTTGTCTTACGACCCTCGGCCATTTTCAAGGAACCGCGGTGAGAAAGGTGAGCTTCAATGACTGTCTGAAACCGTAGATCACCACAGATATATGCCTGAAAGTGTGCATGTGCAGAAAAAGATAGCTAATGGGACGAGCACATAGGACGGCCTTACATAAACATATCACCAGAATGATTGACAATTAGGAGGACCACTTATTTGGATGATCCACCCAGAAATAAAAGATCGTCCTCTATGCCTTTAAACACACACAACAGGGAAAGCAACATTCGAAAAGTAAGTAAAAGGTTGATGTCTTTATGTCAGTAGGAGAGTTGCATCGCGTTACTGTGATGGTACACATTCAATGATGTGGATTAATGTTCACAAATGTTACTCTGAGGGGAAAATTCACAAAGCAAGGTAATTTATTAAATTGTACGCCATTGCTTTGCAGAACCTAGCAGCTCCTACTTTGTGCTCTAGATACAGACTGTTTCAATGCAAGAAGTTTTATCTGACTTCAGGGGAATATATTCACATTAAGACATTAGCTAGAAATAATCCTAAACAGGAACATCACTTCATTAAAGCTGAAAAGCATTTACCAGAAAGTTTTATGTAAATAAATAAAGGTAAAGTATTTAAATACTGACTGTAGGATTTATTGAATTATTGTTAGAATAAAAGAAAACTTAATTAGAAAAAGGTCTGCAATGCAAGGAGCCTCTTTGCTGTTGGTGCCATTAAATCTTCCTGAATCCCCCATAAAAGAGATTTATCCACAATGCTCCTCACGGACCTCTCTAGGTTTACCTATGGTGAAGGTTTGTTTAAATTAGGATTTAGAACAGAACATTTGTTTTATATCTAAATGACTACCAAAAATATTAAGCTCACTTCATTTAAAGAAAAAAAAAAATAAAACAAAAGAAAAAACAAAAAAACAAATCACATTTCTGTATTATTTTCATCCAGTTTTTTTCCCCTTAGACATTCAAAGAGGTTTCCGTTTTCTTCTCCTTTTAACAGACAGTCATTTTTTCATACAATATGTATCTCATGAGCAGAACTGGTCACTGACTAATTTTATTGATTGATTAATTGATAGACTTTATTGATCTCACAGTGGAGAAATGTACTTGTTATATTGGATTCTTAATATACTAAAAACCTTGATATATTGGACTTGTTATATTGAAATTCTTACAGTGGAGAATTTTACTTGTTACTTGTTAAAACATAAATAAAAGGTTGATTAACCGTAAACAGATAACTAACATCTACCAGGACCCACACAGAGAAACAATACAGACAGTATGCTGGTGAAGATTCTTAGTCATCCAGGTTAAAAAACAATTAACTGGACTGGTTTCCAAGTTTGAAGATGTTTTGATTTTGAATTGGATGGGAAGCGAAACATCTTCAAACTTGGAAACCAGTCCAGATAACTGTTTTTTTTTTTGTTTTTTTTTACTTTTTTGGAACTACAGACAGTAATCCTGTTCTGTTATCTTTCTTTCCATACAGTGAGGAAATAAGACGAAAACACAAACATTGTTTGTATACATCAGGTATTTTACCCTGAAATAAAAAAGAGACGAATAAAATACATAAAAAGTTTTTTTGTCTTCTTTTATCAGATTTTGGTACCAGCCAGTACCACCACAGCTCTGCTAACACAGCTGCTCCCAGATACTGGCTATAATGTTGGAGTCGTTGCCCTGTACAGTGACGGAGAAGGGCCTGCTATTAGTGATGCTGGAAAAACTTGTAAGTACCTGTGATTATGGGCTACATTTCAATGTTTCAGTGCACAGAAAGTTTAAGGAGCCTCTTTTTCAACCTTCTGTATTTTTTTTTTCTGCCAGGCAACCAGGTCCTCTTGTGATCTTTAAATAGACTTTTAGTTTTATGAAGGTCTTCAAAGTTCTTTGACCATTAGCTAAAAAAACGTCTAAACGATTGATTAACACCCCTTTAAAGAATCCCAGGAGATATAGCTCCTTTGAAGCAAAAACATAAATAAATCATGTTTTATTGTTTAAAATGTTAACACCAGCAGTAAAACTCAAACCCCTGACCCCCCTAATTATTTTTCCTCCAGTGCCCAGAGGTGGCCCAAGAAACATGCGTGTGTACGACCCAACCACCACCACTCTTTCTGTTAGCTGGGAGCACGCATTAGGTCCGGTCACACAGTATCGCATAACCTACGCCCAGACCACAGGAGACCCTATTGAGGAATATGTGAGCATCTTACCGAAACATTCATCTTTCCTTTGGTGTGGAAGTTGTACTGTTGCCATAAATAAAGTGGTTTTTTTTGTCTATAATTTATGTGCTGTAGACAACTGTTCCAGGCAACAGAAACAATGTGGTCCTGCAGAACTTGGATCCAGACACACCATACAATATCAAAGTGACTGCCATATATATGGATGGACCAGGAGGAGAACTGGAGGGAACTGGACGCACAGGTTCAAACTCCTTTCTGTTTTCAGACAACTGCACACAGGCATCAGATCTTTTTTTAGAAGGGAAAATAAATGTGTGCTATTATACAATATACTAGCCCCGTTCCACCTTTCAAGAGTGCAAAATGAGGCTTTTATGGGAGATTTATGAACTGGCTCTGCTCCAGTAAAAGATATTTATTAGATGTATATCTGCTTATTCTATTGGCTAATTTCTCTTCTTAAACAGCCAGGACATTATTACTTATAATTCCCTCTAATTGGCAGATCATTAATATAATGATTGCTGATTTGTTGTTTTTTTTTTTATGCAGAAGAATTTACCATAACATTTTGTAATGCTTCACTCATCACTCATCAAATGTCATAACAACCTTTAATCTATAGTAAAGTAATTACATTGCTGAAATATAATACGCCTATATACTTTGGAATTTGAAGCCTCTGCCTCTCAGTAAAATGTGCTGCCCTATCTTGCTGCCTACAGTGGGAATGCTGGGCCCCAGAAACCTCCGTGTTTCAGATGAGTGGTATACACGCTTCAAGGTGTCATGGGACCCCGCTCCATCCAGGGTTACTGGATACAAGATCATCTATCAGCCTGAGGGTGAGAAGGAGCTCCCAGCCTAAATTTTTGGCATTTCAGTATAGGGAAAATATGCTCTTTATGGATAAATCTGTGTAACTTTTAAAGCTTTGAAGCTAATTGTTGCTTTGAGGCTTAATTTTTATAGTGATGTCTGATTTTAGGGAGTGACGAGTCAATGGAAACGTTTGTTGGTGATGTAACCTCCCATCAACTACAGTACCTAACCCCTGGAACCACCTATGACCTGAAGGTGCTGGCACAGTATGACACAGGTTTAAGTGAACCTCTGATTGGCCAAGGAACAACATGTAGGTTTAAAAATCCAGTTTTCGTTTTTTTTTTTTTTTTTTGATTGATTACTTGATAAAGAATGTCTCATATTAATACTTGCGTGATTCCTCTTAGTGTATTTGAATGTGACCGACTTGTCCACCTACAATGTTGGATATGATTCCTTCTGCATCCGTTGGGCCCCTCATAGAGCAGCAACTTCCTACAGACTAAAACTGAACCCATTTGATGGTAAGAAATTTCATCATTTTTGAAGATGTTTAATATCTTTCACTTCTTTTAGCTCTGATAATAACATTCTGTCCTTCCTCTGCTGTAGTCTCTAAGAGAGGAGCTCAAGAAGTGACAGTGCGAGGCTCAGAGAGCAACTACTGCTTTGATGGTTTAAGCCCTGACACGCTTTACAATGCAACTGTGTACACGCAAACACCCAACTTGGAGGGCCCTGGAGTCAGTGTCAAGGAGAGAACATGTAAGAAAGTGTCTTCTCTACCTGCTCTGTCCTAATATATGAAAATATCTTGATTAAAAACTTGAAATTTCAATTACTTATCCTAAAATTACATTCTCTGCTCTTTGCTAATGACTGGCCATTGCAGTGGTCAAACCCACCGAGGTGCCGACCGAGCCTCCTACTCCTCCTCCTCCAGCTTCAGTGCCGCCTGCATTGGATGGTGAGAAAAAAGGCTTCATTATTTGGGGTGGGATTTTTTTCTTGTTATTTGATATCAGGTTTTAACAGGATATCATCTTCGTCACAGTGTGTAAAGGTGCCAAAGCAGACGTGGTCTATTTGATCGACGGCTCCTGGAGTATCGGAGATGAGAGCTTCAACAAAGTCATTCAGTTTACCACAAAAATGACTGCAGCCTTTGATATCATCAGCCCCGGAGGCATGCAGGTCAGTAATAAACTAGACCAACTACATAAAAAAGTCTATACAGTGATCAATCTCATGAGTTAAGCCCACATACAGGGCATCATTATTTAAGGAAAGTAAGCTTCTCTATTACCTTAAACTGTGCTAGAGTCAAATACCAATCAACCAGGAAAATAGTCAGCAGAACAAATGTTGTTTTTTTGTCAGTGCGAATAATCTCTATCACAAATTGTAAGATTAAAGACCAAGAGATTTTATAGGATTAAACTTAATTTAGAACTGATTAGAAGATGATTAGAAGCAGCCTGGTCCTGTTGGAGGTTTCTTCCGGTAAAAGGGAGTTTTTCCTCTCCACTGTTGCTACAAGCATGCTTAGTGTGAGGGATTGCTTTTGAGTCAATAAGTCGATGCAATCAACTGGTTTTCCTTAGATAGAAAACTTTGAATCAATTTGACTGTATGATCTGGTGTGTTGTGAATTGGTGCTATAGAAATAAACTGAATTGAATTGAAGATATTTAAGCCAAGGAATGAAAGGATATCAAGAGCTTCTAAGTTACCTGATTAGGAATGAATGTGACCATTAAGCTAATAAATTCTTGGAAATGATTTCATTATTTTAAAAGAAATAGTCAAATAGAAAAATAAAAGCAGCTAAGATACTGGCTGTTGTTCTGAATTTAAGGTGAATTGAAGTGAATGGGTTTGGCTCTGGCACAGTTTGTTTAGGTTTCTTGGTGGTTCCTCACTTTACATTTTTTGGATACAAAAGATCAATTAAATAAAATAATATGGTCTTTGTCTGAGGTGTGGAAAAATAAAATCATTTGCAGGAATTCACACATAAACTAAATGAAACTAACCAAAGCATGCAGTGCACATACATTAAGCCTGAACACAGCTATGCTCAGCTTTCAGCAGCTGGAACATTTGATAGAAGAAATGCCACAAGTGTCAGACCAACTGATCAATGGCAAACCTGAGATTATGTCAAATATTTTCCACATTATAAAGCCAAGACAATATATTCTGGTTTTTACACTCATGAAACAAGAGCAAGACAGAAAGAGTAAAAAAAGACATAAATGAATGTCCGATATTTTTTTTTACAATAATAAATACTGTAGAATATTTTAAAACTTTGTGAGCCTTTTCTTAAAAACAGCATTTTACATATATTTTTTACAAAACTATTAATTCATGCTAATATTATGCCTTAACACTTGAAAACCCCAAGCTATTACATTACATTACAGCAAATTACACCGGTAAAACGTTTACCAATATAGATATGTTAGACATTGTTGGAAAGCTTAGATTGTCCTAAATTCAACCACCTAGTTCATTTTATAGACAAAGTGAGCACCAAAGCACAATTAACACATTTAAAGCAGCATGCCGCTTTGATATGTGCTTTAGAATGGCTTTGTCTCCATTCAAACCCAGGTTTAAAGCCTTGCAGGGCAGCCTAAAGCTCACTGCTCTCATTAAGCCATAAAAAAAACAAAAAAACAAAACAAACGGCCAGTTCAGGTGTTTTATAAAATATGTGAATCAGTAAATTGTCTATATACCAAACTGAATGATTGTTGTTCTCTACATAAAAAAATCCTTTAGATTTTAAAATGGAAAAATGTTCTATTTTTCTATATTTTTTTACATTTAAAAAGTCAATGTATAACATGGATGCTTAAACACCTCTTTTATTTCAGTGTTAAATTTTGTTTAAAGTAACGGATTATAATTAAAAATGTCTCCAGACCTTTACTGGTTGTTGATTTTCTTTAATCGGACCCCGCTGATTTTTAATCGGTTACCCTCTGGTATAGAGTCAAAGTTACTCTGCTCGGGGGTCAAATTTTACCCTGACTCCAACACTTCAGCCGATTTGGACTCAGTATAGTTGTAAATATTCCATTTAGAGTTAAATAGGTAAACTCTGACTTTTTAACACCCAATTTTTTACTGTGTTTTCGGACAGGTTTCATTTGTGCAGTACAGTGATGATGCCAAGACTGAGTTCAAGCTTAACACCTACCACGACAAGGGAATTGTGTTATCAGCTTTGCAGTCAGTTAACTACAGAGGCGGCAACACCAAGACTGGTACTTACCCTAAAAGCACAGACATCTTCCAAAGTATCTGTTGGAATCGTTAAGAGGAAATTATTATTATTTTTTTTTTTAAGGTGTTGCTCTGAAGCATGTCTACGAGAAAGTCTTCACATCAGACAGCGGCATGAGGAGAAATGTCCCCAAAGTGCTGGTTGTTGTCACGGATGGACGCTCCCAGGATGAAGTTAAGAAGAGTGCAGAAAAACTGCAGCACTCTGGTATGCATGGAGTCATGTTTGCTCGGCTTTGCGTTGTGCCAAACAAATGTATTGGAGTGCATAACTTTGAAACCGCTGCTTTCCTAGAGCAGAGCTGATGCATGTGGCTGATTAGTTCACAAACTCAGAGAGTAATCTAAAACATAGTGGAAACGCCTGTGGCTTTTTGATGCGCTAAACAATAGCCTTTGTGTTTGCTTTGTGTGTATCATACAGGGTATAGTGTATTCGTGGTTGGAGTCGCTGATGTGGATATGAGAGAACTGACGGTTATTGGCAGCAAGCCCAGCGAGAGGCACGTCTTTGTCGTAGATGACTACGATGCTTTCGACAAAATCCAAGATAACCTGATCACATTCATCTGTGAAACTGCAACATCCAGTAAGACATATACCAGCAAAAATATTATTTTTATACTAATTTATTAGTACACATGTGCATGGAGTCTATCATCTATGTGCCTATTCAGTGAATGGGCACAGATTCACAATATAATAAAATGTTTATATTAAAAAGATCAAATTATTATTAATTAATTATTATAATGCATTTATTTAGTGGGGAAATATGTCCAGTATTTAAAATAATGTAGTTTAACAAAGTACCACAGATTAAATTGTTGCTATAACTAACAATTTGTTCAAAATAAATCCAACTGAAACATTTTTATTTAGATTTTCTTTTATAAAAAAATGCCAACATGCAAGGTGAAATTTTCATTTGGTCAGATGAGACTATAACTATGGAAGATACCACAGATCCACAGTTAAGTACTGTGTTATGGTGTGGTTTTTCCTTCAATAGGTTCTGAGGACCCTTGAAAGAGTATTTGGTATAATGACTCAGAACAGAGGGACCCAGTATTCAGGCAAGACAGACAGTGGAATAGCTTCAAAGGCGTTTATATAAAACTGGACAGTTAGCGGATCTGTAGCAGCAGTGGCTATGGTGTCTTTGGGAGGTAATTCTGGTGAGAGGAAGCATAGGTTACTAACCTGGTTTAGAGTTCAGTCCGAGTCCAGAGAATGAGGGAGATACCAACTGGTCAGCTAAACAAGATGCAGCGCTTGCCGCACAGAGATTTCCAGACAGCGACGTCTTGAAGGTCACAGAACTGAGAGGAGATCAGATCTGAGCAGATGACGAAAGGAAGGATAATCCAGAGAGTGAAATCAGGAGGCAGATCCAAGGTCGTAAGCAGACAGAATCCAACAGAAATAAAAAAAAAAAGTCAAGCAAACAGATTAGAAAAGGCAGGCATGCTCCAAGATCCGAAGACAGAAACAGTTCAGGATCAGGCAAACAGAACATTAAAAGTAATGCTGGAAAACTCTCTACATCAAAGGCTCAAGAATAATCTGGCACTGATGGCTGGGACCGAGCAGTTTAAATAGAAACAGGAACAGGTGGATCAGATGAGCAGTGATGAGAAACAGGGCAGAGTTAGACAGGTGAATGAAATGAGCAATTTAGTCATCAGCTCCAAGATCATGACATTAGGAACAATTTAAAACACAATAATCTAATTAAAAATACACAAAATAACAATTAACTTACATAAAACTGACATTTTCAATTGTGTTAAACAGGTGATTAAAAAACACATACCCAAATAGAAACAAAATGGTTCATTAAACACAAACATTTAGGTTTTATCAAGCTCAACTCTCAGGCGTTACCTTTGAGAAAAACTCTTTATTTGAGCTCATGAAAATAGGCGAAAGAGGGAACCCAGGACAAAAAAGAGAGTTTGTGCTTTTGACACTACTTTAATTATAGCAGGGATAACAATAATTCTATTTTTTTGTATTTTTAGAAACTATTAACATGGCATATTCTCCCCACTGATGAGTATACTTTGGATTTACCTGAAATCTAGATTGACATCTTCTGTGATAAAAAACAAAAGAAAAAAAATGAAATAAATAACTTTAAAAATCTTCATCAGCGGTGTGAAAACCAATGTGTTCACAGCTGTAAATAACCCAGTGTTTACACCTAATCTGTTTTCCAACATCTCATACCTTCTTGTGATCTTGCAGCCTGCCCTCTAATCTACATCAATGGATACACCACACCTGGTAAGCATTTAAATACTCCACCTTGTACACAGACCCATGCCTGGAGAGCTTGTTGACTTTGCTAAGATGTCTTCCTTTAATCTTTCATCTTCTCATTGTTGCCCCTGTTCATTCCTTCCTTTCAGGCTTTAGAATGCTCGAAGCTTTTAACATCACAGACCGGACATTCGCCGGCATGAATGGCGTGTCTATGGAGCCCGGTTCCTTTAACAGCTACATTGCCTACAGGCTGCACAAAGACTCCTACCTGACTCAACCCACCAAGTAAGAGTTTATGCAAAATGGTGTTTGTGTGTAAAGAAAAGGCGTGTAACTCTTACAATGTGAATATTTCCAGGGCAGCTAAGCGAACTCTGTTCTGCTACACGCTCTGTGGTCCTTCTCAGCAGTCGTTATTTAAAATGGTAGTAACTCATCTCTTTAGAGGGAGTCCCACAGTGATCTCTAGCCCACTCTGTGGCTTTTTGGATTATCTTAAAGGATGATTCTAGTTACTGCATGAACTATTCCTTCACATTACAGCCTGAGGAAACAATCAAGGGTTTTAGTTTAAATGGAATAACATATTTGCATAAGCCACGTCCTACCTGAGAGTATGTAGTTCTGTAAAATGATGCATATGTGGGTACAGCCACTCCCTTAATGTGAGCAAGTGAAAACCCTTTTAAAAACATGAGAGAAGAGAACTTGAAAAAGTCTTTCCATATGCATTTAATTTAGGCAAAGCCTGAGGGGAATCGTTTCAAGGTTCTTCTGCATATTTTACAAACCAGATTCTATTTGCAGCTGGATTTTCATCCGATGTTGGAGCATTATTGCAAAAAGTAGACGATCACTCTGACAATGAATGTTTTCGCAGGGAGATACATCCAGACGGTCTTCCTCCATCTTACACCATCATCCTGCTCCTCCGTCTCTTGCCTGATACGCCTTCTGAACCTTTTGATATCTGGCAGATTGCTGACAAAAACAACAACCCTGAAGTTGGCGTCACAATGAATCGTAAGTTTCCATCAACGTGAACAGAGGAAAGCGGTTGACCCAGTCCATGCAATGTATTCCCGCCCATTTGGACCCCTTTGTCTCTTTAGATGTCAAAAAGACACTTTAAAATATAACTCACCCCAAAACCAACAATTTTTTTGCAGATAAACTTGGACTGTTGTGTGCTATTTTAATGTTACTGTGCATTGTTTACCATTTTTATGTCAGCTTGTTGAGGCCTGCAATATCTGTCACAAAATGTCTGCAGTTGATTTTGCATGTTGGTTCAAACCGTACTTCGCCACTGCTACAGGCTTCTGTGATCATTGTCATCCTTGTTCCATGTTAGGATATGAATACAACTTACATGGTCACACGCCTCCAGAGTGACTCATCCTGTCCTCTGCTGCCTTGGCAGCATTTGGCCATTGCTAAGTCAGGGCCTAGAGCCAGTGGTTCAAACTGATCCACCCTCTGGGCTCCACAAAAACACATAGTGGGATTCCCATTCATTTCTTATTCTTGCCATACATTTCAAATTTGATTTGTAACTGAACTTTGACTAGGCCATTTTTGTAGATTAATAGATTTCGATCTATAGCATTTCATCACAGCACTGCTTGCATGTTTAGAGTTCGACTTCACACCCAGATATCAGGTCCTCTGCACTGTCCAACAGATCAGTGTATTCTCATTATCAGTTCGTATGAAATCGTACGAAAAGTTATGCACAGTAATTTCGTACGTTTTTGACGTTTTTTCGTGATATTTCGTCATATTTTTACGTCTTGCCTCGAGACAAGATATCCTTGCGCATGCGCATCTTACGCACCATTCAATAACCTAGAATTTAACATACAATTAACCCTAACTCTGACCCTAACCCTAAGATACAAAACAGCAAGCAACGTAGTTAGAGACATCAAGAAGTAATTATTGCACTGTTTTTCCCAGTTTTACGTCCGTCCGCGGATCTGCTTTTTTCGACTGTCTGGCTGCGCATGCGCACTGATCTGTTTTTTCGAGGAAAAACGTCAAAAACGTACGAAATACTGTGCATAACTTTTCGTACGATTTCATACGAACTGATAATGAGAATATGTTGAACAGATTGTCTTCCAGCTTTGCACTGTATGCAGCTCCATCCGTTCCCTCCACCCTCCAGTGATCTCTGACTTGCTCCTCTGTCCCTGCTGAACAAAAGCATTCCCAAAGCTAGACACCACGCTTCTTATATTTATTTTTCTTTCAACAATGGCTTTCAAATGGTAAATTTTTCATCTCATCTGAACAGTAGACTCACACAGCCTCTCCAGAGTTACCATCTGCCTTCTGGCTGCTTCTCTGATAAATACTCTCCCATTTCATTCTGTCAGTTAACCACATGGCCATGTCTTAGCATGTTTGCATTACAATTGTGCCATGCTTTTTCAATTTTCAAATGATGGATGGAACAGTGCTGTCTGGGATATTCAAAGCTTTGAGTGCTGTGTCGAAACTTCCCCCCTGCTATAGCTCTAATCTTATTCCTGATCTGTCTGAGGTTTTGCTTGTTCTTCACATTGATGTTTGTTTACTTAAAACCTCTAACAAACCTTGACAGAACAGCTGCATTTATTGTGAATAAACTATTTACAAGTGGACTTTATTTTTGCAAAAGAGTTCCTTTGAATAAAATTTTATTTATATTGCGCCAATTCACAACACATGTCATCTCAAGGCACTTTACAATTCACCAGATCATACATTCAAATTGATTCAGAGTTTTCTAAGGAAAACCATTTGATTGCATCGACTCATTGACTCCCTCACACTAAGCATGCTTGTAGTGACAGTGGAGAGGAAAAACTCTGTTTTAACAGGAAGAAACCTCCAGCAGAACCAGGTTAAGTGTGAGCGGCCATCTGCCGAGGCCGACTGGGGTTCAAGGAGACAGAAGCAGAGATACAAAAGGCAACTGTAAAAGGTGGCCTTGGTTTTGAAGACAATTTTATGTAGGGGTATTGGAGTCAAAGGGGTTTTCTTCTTAAGTTTTCTTTCTCCATCGACTTCTAATGCATTACTTTGTGTCTGTCTTTCATAAAAGTTCCAGTAAAACACACGTTTTGTGGCTATAATGTGACAAAATGTGGAAAAGGCCATAGGATATTAATTCAATGCACTGCAGAGAGCTTTGATGATCTTAAACTTATTGCAGTTTCTTCTCTTTACAAAGCTGGATGGGTGAAAGCATTTCATGGAAAATTCAACCCATTTCTTTCAGAATAAATTAGGAAAAGCCTACACTCTTAATCTATCATGAAAAGACTTCATTGTTGTGTGAACATCTGCTGTACGTTTATGCTTCTGCACTAGGAAGGAATGAAACAGTCTTCTGTGAATACTGCTAATACCTGCAAGCCATACGCATGTGTTCTCTATAGGCCTGACTGTTGCGTGCATTGGAACATATTGTCAGTGATTTATCCAAGTCTCTGGTCTTTACAGCCTCCACTCAAACTCTCACGTTCTACAACAAGGATACCCGAGGAGAGATTCAGAGAGCTGTCTTTAATGAAGCACAAGTCAAGCGAATTTTCCATGGCAGTTTCCATAAGGTAAACATTCCCTGTGTTTTTTTTTTTTTTAAGTGAAAATGTGATGTTTGTATTGTATGTTGTAATGATATTTGTAAAAAATGACCTTTTTTCCCTTTGAATTGGAGGATCTTATGGTATTTCCAGTCCATTATTTCCCTTTCCATTATATTTCGTTTGACAGTCTTTTATGTGAGTCTCTTCCGCCTCATTTAATCTGGCTGAATTATCCCTTATTGTGAGGTTCTCTGCTGTGGCGCTGTTTCATGCCACCTTTCAAAAGACCTCTCCTTTCAATCCCAGTCTTAGTTTGCTGTCACTGTGATTTTAGGGCACCCTTTTTTATGATTTGACATTTGAGCTTTGTTTCACTAACAACAGGCACTTAATTTGATAAATTAGCTTCAGTGGCCATAAATAAGTTTAAAAGCTATTGGTAGGAGTGAGAGTCTTATGATTTAGTTGCTGATTTTAATGTGTTCAACGTAGGGTTCAGGACTAGATTTTCAAATCAGACTCAATTATTGATAATAAGTGATATGGTGCAAAAAAAACAACAATTAGTACAAAGGAATGAGAATGAGTAAAATATTAAAAACAGTATAATAGGTTGAAAGTCTCAATTAACCTTAGTCCCAGATTTTAACTAACTTAATATATATATGTATGTACGTATATGTGTTATAAGAATAGACCACTTGTCATTTATTGTGTTTTTCTTAATTAAAGCTATTTTATCAAAATCTCCCTCATCTATTAAAGCATGCATCCATGATGCTGACTTTGCAAAGTCTGACTCATTGTTCAATTATCTTTTTCTGTCAATCCAAAACATTTTTCCAGTCTGTTTTTAATAGGTGTTACAATGCCATACTGATTGGAGCTCTGCTCAAGTGTTTTTGCTGCTTTAGATAAGCAATGTCCAGAGGGCTCTTTAAAATAGAATATCCAAATCAAAATGATTATTTTCAGCAGTTAAACCACAGCATCAGATCCTTATGCTCAAGTCGGCTGCGTACTGTGGACTTATGGTTTCTCACAAACTGCAAACAAAGACATCAAATATCTCCAAACACAATGCAAAGCAGCAGGGGGGATAAAACACTTATTGTTGTGTAACAGCGCTTTGAGATGTGGAAAGAAGAAAAGAATTCAGTATGTTTCCTGCTAGCTTGAACGGTCTGAACTACAACCATCCGAGATAAGTCCGACCACATTTCAAGGTTTGCTCAAAAGGACATTGGGCTTCTTTTTACCTGTCGTATAGAGTCCTTTTTCTTTCTCAAAATCCGAGGTTATCCCCATCTGTGACCCCTTTTAATGAGTGTGGGTCTTATCCAACATCAAAGTTCTCCCGATAGATATGCTGGCCCCAACATCAGAGGGCACTCGAAATAGGTTTCCAGTTCAACCATTTAACATCTAAACAACTAATTGTGTCTTAGCTTCATGAATGAATGGGAGTTTGGAAAAGTTTAGTTTAGTGTTTGATGAATATCGCGCTTCTTTGTCGGGCTAGTTGTAAAACAGACTAATTTTTGAGCGTACAAGTGTGTTAGTGTGTTTCTGTTCTCTCAGCTTGCGGCTGTCGTCTGAATATGCCCTGGGTGGCTATTTTGTGGTGCAGTGTTGCCGTTCCATGAGCTGGTAAGTCCGCAGTGGTCTACCTAGCTGCTTATTTGTTGGTCTGCAGAGTAAGTGCCGACTCTGCCTGCGGTGGTGGTGTGAGTTTACATGTTGTCAGTGGTTTGCTGAATCTTTTTGGCTCTCTCTGAATGACCTCAATGACTGTTTGTTTTTGGCATCTGAGCTGAAATCTCAGTGACAATGATTCTCTTTCTCAATAAGGTTGGTTTTATATAACATTACTTAATTTTGTACAGAGAGATCCCTGAGCTATGGTTTTTCAAGATAGCAAAAATCTCTTTCTATATCAACGACAGGCACCACAGTGTTGGGTTGGAAAATGAAGCTGAAATTACCTTTTATGTACAAGCTGATTAGTAAATTAGCTAGAGACTGAATTTATTGATAAATATTAATATAATTTTTTCCTAGTTTACACAAATATAGGAACCATTCAGCTACGTGGTGAATTCCCTTGTATGCATTGTTATGCAGCATCATGAGCATATATTAGAACATCGACTATACATATCGATGGGAAGTCAGTGATGAAGATGCTTATTAAGAATGACACTTCTTGAACTTGCACACTTTGCTGTTATAAATGTTGCAAATAAGCCAGGAAAACAACAAAAAAGCTAATTTTTTATCATTAATCCATGTGTGTACAAGCAGAAACCCAAATCTCCCTTTAGAAAAGATAAGAAAATGAAAAGTTTGGGTTTCAAACCAGCTCAAAGTTTTAAAGCCATTGTAAATAAGACTCGATTCTCTGAGGTTAGCGTTTCATCCCAACAAAAACAAAATTATTTTTCATTTTCATAGAGAAGACATTCATGTTATTGTAAGTGCATCAATAAAGCAATAACCACGTCTTTCAAATGTTGTAATTCTGAAATATGACAGAGCAGCGAAGAAGGAGCATAGAACAATATAATGTTATCTGTGGGGAATCATGAAAAGATGCTAAATCAATGAGAGTTCAGCTCGGGTCAATATGTAGACAACTGAGACAACTGAAGAGATTGCCAACAATTCATGAAGTGGATTTATGTGTCAACACTTTGATGCTGTGGGACTCTCTCGTAACAATCATCAGTTAAGGGAATGTTGCTCTGAAACTAGCATTCCCAAAGCTTTAAGTTTCCAAAGTAATGTTTTTATAGGAGTATGTACAGGATATACTTACTCATTATATATGATGGCGTAGGATCCTCATTAGTTTTGGGGAACCCTGAAGAGCATTTTGATTTGCATTTATGCCAAAACCCTAGAAGGAATGACACCCCTTTTCCCTCTGTGGTCCACCAAATGGTTTGTTCCGCTTCCAAGGAAGTAGACTATAATTTGTGAATGGTTGCCAGGAACTACGGCCAGGTTTGTGGTTGGTGTAGCTTTGTAGAGAGAAATGGTGAGTGGCTTTTTGCTGACATAAAAAGTGCTTGTTTGACTTTTTGAAGCAGGAGAAAATCTGCATTTGCAAAGGGAAAAGTATGGAAAGTGTAGGAGTTCTGACAGTGAGCCGCAGAAAATATTGTTTCAAGATGTGTGGATTTGGAGTCTATTCTCTGAAAATACAAAAATGTACCACCTTTTCACTCGGTTGTTATCTAATCACAGATCTAAGATGAATAGCCAGCTGTTGCATAATTTTTTTAATGATCCAGGTTTTCTAAAGGAATTACAAATCGAGACTTCTAGGTCCTTCCATTTCTGCTCAAGGTGTTTTAAAGGCTTAACATTTCTTAATTCCCGAGACTGAGGGGGGTCACAGTTTGCATAAAAAACCTCATTGTTGTCTTTTAAAGTACAAGCATGTCTCCTGTAAATTCAAATGAGTCCCAGCACCATCTTCTTAAAATTTCCTGTGGCCTCATGGATCAATAAATTTGAAATAGGTGGAATTGCAAGAGGACAAGGATGTTTTGTTAAAAGCTTCCCCCTCTCCATTTTCTCTCTTTTCCAGATCCACATTACCATCTCACCAGAAAAAGTCAAACTCACTGTGGACTGCCAAGAGGTGGCAGAGAAACCCATCAAAGAGGCCAATAACATCACGCTGGAGGGCAATGAAGTGCTTGGCAAGATGGTCAAAGCTTCGGGTTCAAGGAAGGCCTCAGCAACTGTAAGAGGGAAAAAAAAAAGTTTGTTACAATTGCAAAAGTGACATCTGGAAGAGGTTCTCACACTGTTCAAAAACAATGAACCTCTAAAATCTGATGTGGATGGCAGCACCACTTGAATTTTGAATAGTCTGTATTGGCTTTTGAAAAGAGGAAAGTTTGCAAACCTCCTATTGTATTTTTTCAACTGTTATTTTTTTAATTATGAAAAGGCGTCTTTTGAATCACTCTGTAATGTGTCTTTCTTTCATCTTGTAGTTCCAACTCCAGATGTTTGATATTGTCTGTAGCCTGAGCTGGATAAGCCGGGACAAATGCTGCGAGCTGCCAGCAACAGTAAGTGTCACTTTAGATTCCCCATCTGATCAAAATAGAATTTAAGTGGATGCCGATGCATTCAAATTTCTCATAAAAAGTGCAAAATATCAGTTTTGCTTCTGTGAAAGAGGCTGATCTTATGTTTATGATGTTGTCTAATGAAAATCTGACAAAATATAGTAAGTTTTTTGTTTGGTCTGCAGATAAGTATCTAAGACAGAAAATGGCTGCAAAAATTTTTTTCTCTACACTTAAAGAGAGTTTTTGTCAGTTTAAACTGGCAGCCTTCAGTATGATGGGTTCACTGACAGGAAAGAAATTGGATTCTTCAATGTCTGACAAGCTGGGGATCAGTCATTTCTGATACCATTAAATTTTTAGTTCTTTAAAAAAGTGGTTAAAAAGAAAAAAAGCATCTCAACTTGTTTGACAAGGACCTTATATCCTTGGTGATTCTGCTAATTAGACCTTTTGAATCATGCGTCCCAGTTGCGTGAAAACAAGCCGTCCTTTGTCTCATTTAGCAGACAGTGGAAAACAATCTGTTCTGTTCTGTGGGAAATACAGAGTGCTTGCATATTTAGGCAATTACAAGTAATTCATGTGTAATTTGCTTCAGACATTAATACATCACATCAACGATTGCAGCATTATTTAACTCATTATGTGTAAGGACTGCAATTCAGAAATGTGCACGAGATCCGTCGCATTTTCTGCCTAAGAACCACATTTCGTCTTTCTTGGTCTCATTTTCATTATTCAAATTTCAAGCTATACTAGGTTTCAAAATGCCTCAGCTTTTATTAATCCTTATTAAAGAAAAATAAAGATATTTCCAGGATAAAGTCAAGCAGTTCATTTCCTCCTTTTATCCTTTATATTGCCAGAAAATGTCCTCAGGTATCAACGAATTTACAAAGCAGTGCAGTAGAATTTAAATCTGCATGTAATTTTGAACTTTATCTCTGCATCTTTTTTTTTTCCTTCCAGCGAGACGAGGCCAAGTGTCCTTCTCTTCCCCACTCCTGCACTTGTACACAGGACAGCATCGGCCCCCAGGGGCCTCCTGGACCTTCGGTAAACTTCACTATCACTGCTTTTTGTCTCTCCTCACCTGATAGAAATGTTTTCCCAGAAGTCTTAGATGTTTTGATGATGATGATAAAGCCATACTTTGAACTTCTTTGCCGCTCAGGATGTTTTTTGCATTCCTTTTTTTTCTCCATCTGGAGAAGGCAGTACAGAGAACAAGACCTATGTCTTGCAAAGAGATGAGTGCTTAGGGATGAGTGTCAAGAGATAAATGCTTCTGGATAAACAACAGTCTATAATACGTGTGCTGAGTAAACTTACTTAGGCCCAGCAGGGAATTCTTAATGCCTTGGCGTTTAGGTCTTTACAATCAGGTTCTGGTGTTACACTCACTTTGTGCTTCTGGAACTTCACTTTTTTCAGGGAAGCCCAGGTTCTAAAGGACCTCGAGGAGATAGAGGAACAACTGGAAACCCTGTGAGTCCAACTTTACATCACGCAAACCATACTGAAGTTTGTTACTAGCAGCTACAATTGCTGTGTACCATACTACTGTTGTGAAAGCCTTTCATTCAGTTCCGTGCAAAAGCATTAATACTCTTTCAAGGTAATCTAATAAATAAATAAAATCCACCAGTGGGAGGAACTGCAGAGGTATGTCAACAGGACCGTTAGGTGTGCAGTACATACATCCTTTCTGGACTTTACTGAGGAGTAAAAGCAAATATACTCGCATAACAATATCAGTTTGTACAATATTCTTATTACAAAGGGAGGTTTGGGGTTTAATAGTTATTGGCTATTATATTACAAATGTTTGGATGTGTAAATATAAAGGATAGTATAATATTTAGCGTGTTCAACAGTCACCTGGCAGCAGATGCACACATTAAACACAAATTACTTTGCCCAAAATTCTTAAGGTTACAGAGCATAAGAAAAAAAGGAAGTAAAAAGGTGTATTATGCCATAGCAAGAAATTTAAATATCATCTTGCCTTACGTCCTGCAATGGACTGGGGACCTGTTGAGGGCGTACTCCACCTCCCGCCTGTAGACAGCTCGAGATAGGCACCAGCACCCCTCGCTTGGGAAAACGTGACGAAAAATGGATGGATGGATGGATCCCGCCTTACAGAAGTGTGGCAAAGTTGTTGAATTGTTAAGAGTCACCAAAAGATGTACAACATAAAAAAAAACATGTAAGAAATGTGCTCAGATGAGATTTGAATCAGTCTTTTTCTTCTACATGTAAAGGATGAACCCCCCAAAATACAGCCAAAGCATTGGAATGAATTAGTTCAAACTGTATTCCTTGTGTTAAAATGTACAACGCTTAAATATTTTTGTTAAATTTGGGTAAGACTTAAAAAATCTTTTATATTTCTGTTGAATCTAACTAAAACTGACACATTTTAAAAAGATGAATGAGCAAACATTCCAGTTTTTACATATGCAAAGTTGTAAAAAGACAAACTTCATAACACTTACAGTTTTAATAAGAGTAACGTTATTTAGATCGTTTATCATTTTCCATCTACTTTAGAATAATGCACAACTTTTTGTTTGACAATAGTATAAAATTACGATAGAGCATTTTGAGGTTTATGGTAACGAACCTATAAAAGTTTTTGAGGTATTGGTAGTTTTGCAATGCACTGTCTGGAAGCAGCAATTAGATAAAAGGTAAACAGTCTATATAAGTCTCAAAGTATATATTTTCCAATGATGGACTTTAAGGAAACCCTTGTCAAATATTTTGAAGGTCCATTTACATTGTTGAATAATGAAATGTCTGTCATTAAAGAGGCAGGGCTAATTAAATATTACTCTATCCTCCTTTTCTGACACCTTGTGTTTTAGGGTCCAATGGGTCCACGTGGTGATCCAGGTCTTCCAGGTGCGATGGGACCACCAGGTCCACAAGGCCCAGCAGGACTTTCTCGACCTGGAGAACCTGTAAGATATTTTATGCAGATAACTCATGTTAGCAGGAATGTTTATTCTTTTAATTGCTCCCTTTGCAATCACCGTCTACCTTCTGAATGGTTAGAAAGCCTGATTTCTTCTGCACATCAGCGCTGAGTGAGATTTATAACTGATGTCAAAACACATCACACTCCCTTCTTCTTCCAGCCAGAAACCCTGAGAGCTTTGTTATTTTTTAAACTTTTTTAGTTAAAATATGCCATCAATCACAAATACAGAGGAAATGAACGGGCAAAGCGAAGAATAAAGAGCTGACTGCAGTCCTCTCTTTTCCTCTTCCTACTTCCTCAGGGTCGTCCAGGACCTAAGGGAGATCGCGGGGATCAAGGCATGCCTGGTCTGCAAGTAAGACTTTTCACTCATTTGTGGTTAATGATTGGGAAACTAGAAACTCTTCATAGGAAGCAGTGTTGATTCTCAAAGTTCAGTTCGGCAATTAGGTTGAAACCACATAGAGTTTTGTGGCTTTATCAGGCCTACCTTTAGGGAGAATCCATACTCCTTAATAGTCCTCCTGAGTGACAATTGCTCCAAGAGAAAGCAATGCTGAAATGAATACAAAGACTAGATTCATGTTTCTATGGTGTTAAAGATGCAAAAGTATGCACCTTGGAGCTCTATCTCTCCGGTTCTTTTTCCTGAAAAGAGATCTCTAGGGACAAACTCTTTACATAACACTTTCTAACTTACAAGTATTGAATAACCATGAGACATGAAAACAGATTTTGATAGAAATTGTAATCTTACTCAGATCAGAGAAGTTGCTTAGAGTTTACAGAAGGCAGCCGCTCACCTCTTAGGAAGTGGCCCCGATTAACAGTTAAAAAGGCATTTTATACATCTCCAGTCTGCCACAGCATCACATTTTACATCATACACCTTAGCAGATGAGTAGACATCCATGGCTGCAGCCTTATCAAAATATTAGACTTCGTTCTTAGCTGAAGGACACCGCTCTCATTCCATTCCCAAATATTTGCCACGTACAGAATGAAGATTATAACTGTACTGTATATCCAGACAGAGAAACTGGCCTAATTAGATAAACTATTGTGGAAAACATAATTTCTTATATTCAACAGGCAGCTAAAATTAGGGTGTAATTAACTCATGCATCATTAATGATAATTATCCTAACAATTGGCAATGGAACATCCTTGTAAGTGAAGAAGGTCATGAATTGAAAAAGCTTTAATTGACATTAAGGAGTTTGGTTTTCATCCAGCAGTTTTACCTTGTGAAGAAACATTAAGCTTGACAACAACCATAGTTCACAGTTTATACTTCAGTTGGCATTTAAAATTGAATCCAATTTTCAGTGGGTTAAAATAATGTGTCTAAGGTTGTGTTTTTTTTTTCATACCAGCTGATGTCATTTATTTAACTACCAGCACTCAGCTGGTCCGTCATTCACCATTGCTTGGACTTGAAATGAACAAATATGGCCAAAGGTCCCATTCTGTGTTCCATGTTCATACTGGCAGCATCTTATTAGCAGTTTAAGTGAATGCAGTTTATCATAGAAGAGAAATAAACTTCGTTAAACCCTGGAGACTTATTCTAGTTTTTACAAGCAAAAATGATATGTTATCATTGGCTTAATAAAAACAAAAGTAAAAACATCTTTCAGTTTATATATAAAGAGTTTAGAGGCATAAGGGAGCTACAAAAATGTTGAAAGGTTTTAATGATCAAATCATGATGAAGTGTTTGTCTTTTTTCCCAGGGTCCTCCTGGGCCACGCGGTCCTTCAGGTCCTATGGGACAACATGGAGCCCGGGTAAGATTTCCACATTTGGATACTCAATAAACGAAGTCAGAAGCCCCTAAGTGGATTTACATCATGGTTTGCATGGGGGTCCTGAGTTAGAATATGGGTTTGGTGTTTTACTGCATTTACATTTGTTTTAGTTTGTAAAAGTGCTACTGCTTAATCTAAAAAAGTACAGTTAAGGCAAAAACCAAACTTACATCATGACATTGATGTATTAAACCAACATAATCCCCAAGGAGCTGTAACTCACATGTGACGGCATGTTGTTTCTTCAAAAGGGGCCACCAGGAAAGGAGGGGCCATCTGGACCCAGAGGCCCTCCAGGGCCCATGGTAAGTGTCTACGTATGCCAAATAAATATTGCTAAATGTTTTATTTTACCGATACTGTATATTTTGAAAAAATAAAAATAAAATAATTAGGAATCTGCTGCTCTGGCCCCATATTTCCACTCTGCTGGAACAGCACATAAAAAACAGACTGGCTCCCCCACTGTTGGGAGAATGATGCATGCATCTCTCATTTTCCCTTTTGCTGCAGTTTCTTGGGGTCTGAATCTGCTTAATCCAGCCATCATGTTAACAGAGCACATATGGTCTATAGCATCCAGAGTACCACAGGAGCCATTAGTGAGATGGTTGGTGTACACGCACTTCCATGTACTGCGTTGTTCTTGGCTGCCAGTTTTCCCCACTGCAGCTATCAGAACACAAATCCCAACTCAATCCCTGTTATACTACTATTAATTGGGAGCAGAGGTTGAATGCTGCCTTTAAATCTAGGTGATTCATGGTTTTCATTTGATTTTCACTGTTTAGGGAAGCCCTGGAAATCCAGGTGTACCAGGAATTACTGGCAAACCAGGCAAACCAGGAGACCCAGGAAGCCCAGTGAGTACTGAATACAGAGATTAAATTGTACAACATAAGAAAAGGTTTGAAACTTAATTTGTCTTAATTGTGTTATTCACCAGGGACCTGCTGGCATTAAAGGAGAAAAGGGCGAAAAGGCATGTAATGTACTCAACATTTTATATATTACTTAAAAAAAATCATAAATGCTCGTCCTCATTAAACTGTCTTGGTTTTCTAGGGAGACTTTGCATCCCAAAACATGATGCGTTCCATTGCCAGACAAGTTTGTGAACAGCTTGTGAACAGTGAGCAAAACAATCTCTCAAGCCTCTGACAGTTTAACTATCCTTGACCATGAAAATCTGATTAAATCCATCTGAACTTGTGCTTTTGTTGCAGGCCAGATGAGCAGAGTTAATTCGATGCTTAACCAGATTCCCACCGGATATCGCAGCAACACCCCTGGGCCTCCCGGTCTTCCCGGGCCCCCTGGAAACGCCGGACCCCGAGGAGAACCTGGGCAGCCCGGGAGATCTGGATTCCCCGGAAGCCCTGGATTACCTGGAAATCAAGGAGAAAGAGGTGAACTTCTGTTGTCATCAGGATATATTGACTGTAATGCTAGACTGCTTACAAAAAAAAATAATCTTGTGCAAAAAATGTTTGTAAGTCATTTATAATCTTCAAAAATTAATGCTAAATCTTTATCTCCCTGGCATGATGCTGCAGCTTCCATTGTTCATGGAGGTCATAGTATGATAAAGATGTTTGAGTTTAATCCAGTATTTTTTGTAGGATTACCAGGGGAGAAAGGAGAAAGAGGACCTCCAGGAAATGACATTAGAGGACAAAGAGGCCCAACTGGACCTCCAGGTAATACAGTCATCATTATTCTCCTTTTTTCTGAACAAGAATGCCATTTCTAACTAAAACATTTCACAGGGCCAAGTTCACCAAATCAGATTAAACGTCTGCACTTAATTCTATCCTCCGGCAGCCAGTCAGTAATATAAAACATCTTCTGCTGTATTTTATTCGCACTAAGACTGTACACATAATTCAACACTTTATTTTGGGTAGCTCCACTACGTAATTCCCATGTTTTGTTTTTTCTTTGAGCGTTTATGCCGTATCTATATCATACTTCCACATTCCCATTCGACTTTCTGTAGTAAATCCTGGAGGTTTTGACAAGAGGTTCTAATTTAAACTACATGGACTTCGTCTGTCCATTCTTACTCAAAGCTTAGAAGCTGTTGTAGAAACATCTTCTTAGAATGTTTTTGGAAGCAACAGAAACCTTTTATTTATGTCTGTCCCTGAAAAGCAAACACAGAAGACTGTTTCTGAATGAAGTGAGAAAACACCATGGACCAGTGGGAGGAAGTCCACACTGATGACTCAGTTGTGTGTGTGGGAGTTTCAGATTGTTGTAGAATGAGCTTTCTTTGGTGGCTTCATTGACAACACATGGACTCACTTAGAGGAGAGGGGAAAAGGGGGAGAAAATTCCATCTTGAGTTTGTGCTGTCTAGACAGACTGGCTGGGGGTAACTCCACTCAGCCCCTGACTGCTCTCTTCTGTTTTTTCTTAGCCAAATTCTCTAATTAAGCAGTTGAAAAGTGGAAGCTGTGGATCCGTAACCCCTACTGTTTCCACAGAAAGCTCATAGGTGATGTCAGTAGAACCCCAGAGGGACTTCCTTTCCTAAACGGGCCTCACTCTCTGTTTCAGGGCCACCAGGAGAATCTAGAACAGGTCCTCCAGGTCCTTCTGGCTCATCTGGGCCTCGTGGGCCCCCAGGCCGTCAAGGTGTTCCAGGTGTGAGGGGACCACCAGGACCCCCTGGATACTGTGACTCCTCTCAGTGTGTTGGCATTCCTTACAATGGACAAGGATACACAGGTATAGATATATATATATAAGTCCTGCATGGTTTGGCCTGAGAAAATAGAAAAAGATGGCACACTAATGACATTTGGAACTTATTGCTGCACTTCTCTGATGATGTATGGAGGTCTTTATGTACGGGTTCCTAATTTAGTTAAGTTAAACCCATTCCAGATCCAGCCTTATGGACTAGGATAAATATGTCTGGTAGAAGAACCTTCACAGAATATTGGGAGTGCTACAGATCTGCTTTATAAAAACCAAAACAAACGTCCAACTATTAAACAACACCACTAAAGTGGATTTCCTACGAAGATCTTTGCTAAAGAGGAAATCGATTTAATAAACAGTATTGTGCAATAAATTTAGACCACCCCTATCTTACCTTCCTCCAAAGGACTCTGGCGTGCTTATCCTTTTTAGGCAATTTTCATTCCTCCTTTCCTGAAGGTCTTTTTAAGTTTCCTCTTTAAGAAATAGGAGGAATAATATCAATAGATGTTTTTACTGTATTCCAAACTTAAACCCAAAGCTTTTTGCGACTGATTTAGCTGCTCACAGACTGTTCTTTGGGACTCTTATGCTTATCTGACATTTTTATTTGATTAAGGCAAACATATGAAAATAAAATATGTTTGTGACAAGCACAAATGATTAAAATATGCTAAGATCTTAAGTTTCTTTCTCTGCAAGTTGTCTCACATTTAGATCTGACATTCATTTCTAGTTTGGAAGTCCATTTAATGTCTGAATGATTAATGGATCCACAGGAAGCGGAGTGACAAACATCTCCCAAACATTTGTCTAGAGGAAAGTGCTGTAATTCATTTTAGGTTACATGTCTGAGAAAATGATCTGAAGCCTCTCTAAAGATTTTAGAGCACTTTCAGATTAAATTCAAACTCAAAAAATAAACTGCTAAAAAAAAAGGAGAGCAGAATTTGATTCATGTACTTTATGGCAAGACAAAATAGCACGAATTTGTGAGCGAAACCAAAACTGGCCTATTTCTCTCCAGCTAACTAAGCACGTACGATACATTACTAAAAATAGCATTGATTGTTTTTGTCAGTCATGAATTACATCTGGAAGTGTTCAGACTGAAAAAAGGTTATCATCAGTCATAATTTGAAGAATATCTCAAAAAGTCTATGATTAGAAAATGAAAGTATGATTAGTTAGGAGTGAAATAAAACTAAAGTAGTTGAAATAAGTTGTTTGTTGTTGTTTTTTTTTATCATTCCACGACTCCAGGAATTACTGGCTGTGATTGTTAATGTCCGTCCAAAAAACTTTTGCCCATATAAATTTCCTTCCTGTAAGTTACTCAGTGTTAAGTTACCTTTCAGACCTTTTCATCCTTTCAAAAATGAATACAGCATATAATTATACTGTGAGATTTATCGCCAGAATGAAACCTTAAAACATGTAGTGGTAGAGATGCTACAACCTGGTTAGCTTAGTCCAAAATAGTGATCAACGATACTGATGTCCCCATGCACACACTTTAATCAATTATATGTTTTCATAAAATGAATATCTGCTTAAAAAAAACGGAGTGCTTTGCTTTGAACATAAATGTTAATGATTAAGTTATATGAGTATCACAATATGAAGAGGAGGTCACAGAAAATATAAAAGGAGGGGATTTTAGAGAGTAAAACAATTTATATTGTTAGCTAAATTTGCTAAAATACCAAAGTAATATTCATGTTTATATAAATAATAAGCTGTTATTTTGTTAAATTCTGTCTTTTCTCTGTCAGATAGACAAAAACTGTACAACCACCAAAACCTTCACTAAGGTTCTTATACCAAGATGCCATGTTAGAGAAATTCTTATGTAGTTCACAGCTTTAGACAGTCAATAACTACACATTTTGGGACTATAGCCTGTTTTAAGATATATTACTTGCATATGGTAGGGTGTAAATTCATTTCAACAAACATTCAGGATAGAATGATACTCTTGACAATGGATGTCTTTCTTTAGCACCCCCTAAAGGGAAACACTCATGTCTTACTTAAGGCTGGAATAAACAGTCTTCCTTAAAAAAACCAACACTTACTGCATTTCTGTGTACAGCACAAAATGTTTTAATACCATTTCTGATGTAAACTTTGGCAGGCCTGCTTTGCAGATTTTCCCAACAGCTGGTTTGGGGATAGTGGGGGGAACCCTTGTGAAATACAACATTTTAATGCCTCCATACATTTGATGTTCATTTTTAAAAGTTGCATGTAAGCAATGTATTGATGATGTATGATAACTTGCATTGCATTAATCAGGATGCTGATAACCCACACCCTTTCTGAACTGTTTTCAGGTTTGGCATAGTACACTTTCTCCTAAGTCCTCTGTGCCATTTACATTCTGAGATGCCCAGTTGCTTTGGAGCTTGTAAGAATAATCACCATGGACATATTTAACATGACAGAAGGAAAAAAAAGTGAGAAAATGGAGTGTGCTGGCACTAACACGATGTCACAGCTACAAGCTACAGGGATGGCAACCCGCTGGCCTGTTTGCATATTAATCCACAAACTGATGGGAAATGAATAAACAAAGCAACAGAGACTGAATATTTTCTACGAAGGACGCAGCATGTACAAACACAAGCCAACGCAGCTACTAACAAAGAGGACATCATATATTAATACAAAGGTGTAAATAAACCTTTTTTTTTTTTTTTTGCTTTTTAAGTGACTGAATCGGGACATTTTACTAATAAAATAAGGGAACAAAAATCACGTTAACCTTTTCATTGAGCTTGAGCCTCATAACCCTCTGCTTACTTACTATGAGCATAACCCTTTGATTATGACGCTTTAGTGACCTTTGGAGCTCCGTTTCAGACTAAAGCATGTTTCATTTTTTTCTTTTGAATATCTTCATATTTGTAGCATTGGTCAACTCAGCGAAATGTTTTCTTTTTCCTGACAGTTAATATTTTCGGAGTGGTATAAGCTGGTTATTTTACCACTATATGATAAAAAAAACATGTTGGACTTTACTGTAAGAATTCAAAAATGAATTAAAAGCTGTTTTTATTTTCAGATGTTCTTCTACTCTAGGAAGCAATAATTTCTATATTCAATAAGGATATTTGTTAACTCCACAGTGTAACTCTTGCCAAACATTGTTGAAGCCATCCCTTGTTGAAATTGTATTTGTTTTAAAATGGCCAAATGTTCTTTTAGACATCCGTTACCAGCCTGCACCTGAGGTAGAATCTATACCTGTGGAGCCAGTCGGAGCATTTGAGACAATACAGTCACGCGGTGACTCCAGAGCCCAGCGAAGGCAGAGATCACTACAATCAGACAATACAGGAAGACTGGCATCATAGCTACAAACAAGAGTTCGCAGAAATAATAATCACCAAACGATTTATTGAGGATACCCAGAACAAACTAATACTTACATGAGGTTTGATACCTCTGGATCTGTTGAACATATATATTATAAATATATATATATTTTTTCTTTTTTGACACAAAAAATATAGCGAGATGAATAGAAAGTTTTGTTACAAACCTGTGTGCTTGCTAAGTGTTTTTCTCCCCTTTTATGTCTGCATGTAATATATCTGCAAGTGTTCATCAGACTCCAGTTTGTAAAGCACCAAGCATCTCAAAAAACCCACAAAGTAGTTCAGTATGCGTGTTTTGTAGACAGTAACAAAATGTCCATATGGATTCAGTCCAATTTCAAGATGTTAAGCAGTTTCAGACCCTTTAATGGTTTCAAACAAATGATTTAATGCCACACAATTTCAGTATTGTGCTATTTTTGTTGCCTGTAAACAACAAGATAGTTTGACTAACTGTAACAATTCAAATCTGTTTCTTTGTTTTGTTACCAAATGTTAAATTGCATGATTATGTTGTATATTTAGTGTGGTCAGAATATAGTTTTTTTTTTGTTTTGTTTTTCTGTCAAGGCAGTTTGGATTTGGTGGCAAAACTATGGATATAGGATTGCATTTTTCAACTGTTTCAACTGCACATTTTGTGAATTTACACACAGCCTTATTTTCTTATTTATTTCTGAAACGGAAGAGGCATTTTTCAATAAAACTACTGAAAATGTTATACATGTCTGGAAAATGTGTTATTTTATGAATTGATGTTATCATTTGTAGGCAGTGGCATGCAAAATCCTTAATACCGGTACCCCTAAAAGATTTTAACATTTAGTTTAGTAAAAATTGGTTAATTTAATTACTTTTCAGTTCATATTATTGTTAATGATAGACCAACAAAAAATAGCTTTTGACTGTACAATGCAAGCTAAATAATTAAATAGATTTTACAAATAAAAACCTATCAAAAGAAGAAAATTTACCCTTATAGCCATAACTCAGACTCAATGTAAATGACTGCCTTTTGAAGTCACCTAATTACACAGGGGTTACATTTGTGTACAGTACTGGCGCAGCTTAGCACATCCAGACATATTTTATCTTCCTATATATCTCAGTAAAATGCATGTTAACTTCAGAATCAATTTCAAACTAGCGAAATGTATTAATGTATTGCATATTAAGAACTAAGACTGTACACATAATTCAACACTTTATTTTACTAATATCTCAGTAAAACTGGATTCTAAGTGTCTGAGAACATCGGATTCTTAATGATTTAGGTTCAGTGATTGCAACACATCCATTGAAGGGCTGGGTGTTTAACTTCACTGCCTTTGCCACTGTCTTTTGCAGCCCTAAAAATGTTTTCTTCCAGAATTTCCATATTTGAGCTCAATCCATTATTCTTAGTTTGCTTATTTGATTACAAAAATTGTGCTTACTGTAATACAAATGCACTTTTTAATTTTGGGACTTATGAAAACGTGCAGTTCCACAGCCACATGTGGCTTTTTTTTGCCCCTTCAGTGTAGCTGTAATGACAGCGAATAAGAAATTATTTTAATTCTAAAAGGCAATAAGAACAGGTTTATATGTTTTTATTTTATATCTGCAAAGAATATCAAAAACAAAAGTGGTACAAGATTTCAAAAGTCATTTTATGTTTTTAGCTTTAACTAGATGTTTTATATTTGCAGATTGGCTAACCATTGTTCTGCCTCCTTTATATTTAAGAAAGACCACTCAGCTTGTCTCATCCTACAAAATAACGATTTTTTTGTTCTTGTAAGGCTTCAATTATAATTTTACATTTTCTTCTATTTCTCTTATTAAATAAAAATGTAGGAAAATATTGGTGTATTTTTCTAGGCTTTCAATAATTAAAAACATCTTTATTGTGGCTCTTGGCATATTTTATATTGTTGCAACAGAATAAAAAGGGACGCTTTGAAAAAAAAATGCTTACAGAACCCTCATCTATCACATCAAATTCTAATAAAATACATTGAAGTTTGTAGTTTTCACATAACAAAATGTGAAAAGCACTATAGTAAATGATGTGTAAAGTCAAAGCACTATTGCCAAGACCATCAAAACGTCAGAAATACAGCTGCTGTTGATTCTGAATTCCTCTGAATGAGTTCATCTGGTCAGGAGCGACAAGCCTGATTTTTCTCACCATAAGTCCGTCAGAGATATGCTTTGAAGTTCTAACCTTTATATATTTTGACAGCTAAAGATATTTTTATTTTGAGCTTCCCAGAGAGTCAGGTTGTGCCACAGCAACAAAGGTTTAAGGAAGTACTATTACACAAACTGAAGATTTTATAGTCTGAATTTTATCCCATCAGAACTATATTCTGAGTCTCTATGAAAAAACTCTCCACACATTTCAACAGATACCTATGATGTACTGATCTTCCAATGAACACATCTAGTGTGCTACAGGACCAATGCAAGATGTTTACTTAGATGTCAAAGAGAAAAAAAAAAAACAGGCTTGAAGAGATCTTTGCAAATGTCAGAGGTTAAAGCTGGGAGTTAGACACTGAGGTTAAGATCACCACAACAACTGGACATATAAAAACACCCTGGAAGAATAAAACATTTTGTGGTCAACTGCTGTATCCTGATTTGCCCAAAGAAACTGAGAAAGTTTGACAGATCCTTGCACACAAAATGCAGCTATTAGCTTACTCTACATATAGAAAAGAGATTACAAGAAAATCCAAATACCAATAACACAATACCAAATGCTGCAGAATTTACTAATTTCTTAAACTTAAGGGTTTAGGTCCAAGCCCTGGGGGCCGTGAGCACCAGACCAAGAACACACAAGAAATTATAGCTTTCTGTAAGTCAAGGACCACACTACATTTATAGCTGAGCATTAACGAGGAGAGGTAGAGCTATTCACAAACATCAAATGTCTAACTGCACTGAAGAGGACCAGGGCTCTATTGTACACACCATCCACATTAATGAAAAGGCAGAGCAACATTTTATCTTCATGAGAAGAGAAGGAAAAAAATATAATCTCTGTGTAAAGAAAAGTATAAATGCACAAGAGAGAGCATCCTGACCAATAGATGTACAGTGTGGTATGCCTGCTGCTCTGACTCTAAGGAAAAACCACCTCTGTGGCTCTCCACTGCCACCCCTAGAGGATGTCTACTCATGTCTCACCTCCAATGAGCTACATAGTTTTGGAATGATCAAGCCCACCCAGAAGGTTCTATTTATTGTTTTTTATTTTTATTTTTTCCAGCGTTTTTTATTGCCATTACTTTGTCTCAAGTACAGGACAACGAAATTCACTATCTGCATTTAACCCATCCCCTTGGGGAGCAGTTGGCTGCCATCGTGGGGCGCCCAGGGAGCAGTGTGGACTTAGGGGTCTTTGCTCAGGGACCCAGAGTGGCAGTCTGATGGAGTGCGTTTCGAACTTACAACCTCAGGATTCCAAGCTCTATGCCCTAATCACTAGGCCCCCACTCCCCTTTTTACTAGTCTTAGGTCTGGAAGACTCAGAGTGAAGTGAATCTGCACCAAAAGAAGTGCAAAAACCCAGGTCCATTGGTCAGTGCAAGTCAGTGAATCATGGAATATGTTATTTCTTGTGTCAGCTAAATGCTATTAGCAATACTAGATTGGTGTTCTATTTTAGTAGACCACCAAAGAATAGGATAAATAAAATGGTCAGGGTTGCTCTGGAAGCTGACTCTTTCATGGTCAGTGTGCTGATTTCATCAAGCATTCTGGGAACTCAGAAAATCTGACTCTGGAGTAAAATTAAGTCTAAAATACAAGGGCAGTCAATGAATTGAAGTGAGGACAAGGAGAAGGTAACATTAACCAAACTCCATAAGTCGCTCTGTCTAGAAAAAAAAACATTAAGCAGATGAACTCTTAGACTATATTGAGGTCAAAAGGAGCACATACAGTTATTTACAGTAAAAGCATGAAAAAGTTTATTTTGTTCCGTAATTTCATTCAAAAATTTAAAGTTTTACATTATGTTCATTCATTACACACAGACTGATACATTTTATGTTTAGTTCATTTCATTTTGATAATTATAAATGACTACTAATAAAAACCTTCAATTTAGTATTTTATAAAATTAGAATATAGTAAAAGGTCCAATATTGAAGACACCATGTGCCACACCATGAGCTAATTAACTAAACACGCCTGCAAAGGCCTTTCAAACATCTCTCAGTCTAGCTTTGTAGGCTACACAATCATGGGGGAGAGCGCTGATTCGAGAGTTATGCTACGTTCAGACCGCACTCATCAGAAGCAGCAAAAACACGCACGCTGCTTCATTTTTGATGCTTGTACAAGTTTAGTTCTAACGAGCAGCTGAAGCATTTTTGCTGCTCTAGCTGCACAGTCGAAAAGTGGGTCTAATGCGCGTTGGGCGAAGCTACCCTATCCTTTCTATGCCTGTAACAATGGCAGCTATATTTTCTGTGATCAGAGGGTAAAAGTAGTTTTAATATGTTTTTAGGTGAGAAAGTCCACCTGAAAACTTCATATGTGCAGTAAGTTCATCCAGATTTAGATCCTGCCTTCAAATGTTATTTCGCAGTTGGAGCCACTCAGACCCAGATACACTGGCGGGGCTATGCGCTTGGGAATCCTGTTTAACTGTAGTCTATGGCCCGATCGCCTCTTCACGGTTTTCCACTACTGTTCGCGGCTGCTGGAAGGCGTTTTTCATGTACGTAATCCAAACTGCAGGCACCAGAATAATAAAATCAAACATATGAAGTTAATTTAGGCGTTAATAAATTGTTTAATGGGAGTTATCACAACGATTTGCATCAGCAGTGAGGTGTCTGTCTCCCTGGAAGCTCCCAGATCAGCTTCCCTGATTGGTTGATGTGGTGCATCGAGCAGCAAAAGTTAAATTTTTCCAACTCCAGGAGATGCTGCTTCTAAAGCGTGTCAGCCACCTCAGACGCTCTTTAGACACTGCTCCTGCTCCACAAAACATGCTGCAGGACTTTTTGCTGCACCTTGATGCGCGTCAACCATTGACTTTGCATGTAAAATAGCTGCTTCTGCTGCTTCTGCGCAGTGCAGGCTGAACAAAGCATTATCCAAAAGACAACCGCTCACATCACGTACAAGGAGGACAAAACTCAAAAGGTCAATACTAAAGAGGTTGGAGGTTTACAGAGCTTATTGTACAAACACATTCATAGAGAGGCAGAGGGAAGGAAAAGATATAGTTGGAAAAAAGTGAACAAGAATAGGGATAAACACACCCTGGAGAGGACTGAGAATAAATTGCCTTGGTAAATGACAAAAAATCTGGACTGCCGCTGAAGAAAACTTTCTCTGGTGAAAGTACAGTAAATTTTGCATATCCTTTGGAAATCAAGGTCTGAACTCTATCACCTGGAAGAAGTGGAGAGGCACAGAATCCATGCTGCTTGAGGTCTGGTGTTAAAGTAGTGATAGCTTGGGGAGCTATGCCATCTGCTGCTGTTAATCAATATATTGTCTGAGGTCCAGTGTGGTCAAGGCTTGGTCCAGTGCTGCTATGATCAGTGCTTCTGTCCAGGCCTTCAGTCTGACTCTCTATAGCCATTGATCATTGGTCATATTAGCAAATTCTGCTATAATTCAGTGGAACATCCTATGCAGTGTGTTCTTAAATAATTGTTCCTCTGGTTTCTTTCCTCCTATCTCCCATTGTCTCAGACATTCTTTGAG